TTTAGTTTGTGTCACTGACCAATCACGAGCGAGATATGTGTTGAGTATGTGGAAATAGCCAAAAAAGGAAAAAACTCTTATCCTCACATTATAACATAGAGAATGGTCAAGAAGCCTTTTATTTTTGCTCTCTCGGCAAGATTTCCGCACAGCCCCGAATATCTACCCGCTAATCATGATACTATTATCATATTACAGTAAGTTACTGAATTAACAGCAAATCCTAACATTTTCCTATTTTGTTTTATTCACGCTTAGCCAACTCTGTACTGATTTTTACAACCAAGCTCATGTCTATTAAGAGGAAGTCGCTGTTCGATCCAAAGTTACTTCTGCAAATAGGTTTTTGGCCGGTCCTGGCTGGAATGATTCTGTACTATCTGTATAGAAAGGCATCTAAGGAATCTGGCAAGCATGAAACAAAGTCGAGCAAGAAAAATAAAAAGAAATGATAAAACTGTAAACTGTTCAATATTATATGGCGTTACAGTGAAGCCCCTTATTCACCTGCAGATGGCTATAGCACGGTTCTACTTCCCCTCCTTTCCGCGACTTTTCATGCGCAACGCTTGAAGCTCGTAGATCACTGCTGGAGTGATCCGCTCCTCGGCGCAGACACTAGAACGTAACTCGATTAACTCGATTGGTGATTGAAAAGAGAAAAGGTGAGAAGGAATCCCATAAGTTAGGGCTGTAATCAAGGCCAAATTCTCCATAAACTGAGCAATTTTTTAGCGAGTAGATATGGGTTTATATTAAAGTTCAGATATAAAGCGCGCTGTCATTGGTTGGAAGGGCGTGCTCTATTGGAGTTTATAGTTCTGCTTCCTTGACCTTGTTTATAGTTCAATATTATATGGCCATTGTTTATAGTTCTGGATCCTTTCATAGATATTTAACTACCGGTATTTTCCTGATGATTGGAAGGTAGCCAGAGTCACTCCTATTTACAAGGATGATATCAAACTAATCCAAATAATTATCGACCTCTATCTGTCTTACCGACTGTCAGTAAACTTATTGAGAGAGTAGTCTTCAACCAGTTATATGATTTTTTTAATGAGGCATGATTTACTTACCGATGCTCAGTTGGGATCTCGATTTTGTCATTCCACTTTGACTGCCCTTTTGACAGTGGCTTACTAAATGGAGTTCTTTTTCTCGATCTCAAAATAGCTTTCGATACTGTTGATCATGAAATACCACTTAAATAGCTCAATTTCTGTAGGGTTGACTCCATAAGCTTAAAATGGTTTCAATCATATCTGACTGATCGCAAGCAAAGAACTTATGTTAATGCTCTCTTTCTGATTACGGCTCCACTGTGTGTGGTGTCCCTCAAGGTTCCATCCTGGGACCTATAATTTCTTGATTTATATAAATGATCTTCCTGCGAGTGGTCTATCCTCAACACCAAGACTGTATGCTGATGTTACTTGTCTTACCCTTACTGCTCATGATCCTACTGATCTACAAATAAAGCTGAACAGTGATCTAAACAAAAATCCAGTCCTGGCTCCAAGCATGTAAACTTAGTCTTAATGTGAAGAAAACTAAATATTCCATTATTACTTGCTACTCAAAACAAGATCACACACCTAGATCATCAGCCTGATGTAAGAATCAATGGACATTCTGTGGATACTGAGTCAGAACCCACACTGAGATACATAGAGGTCGAAATTGATGATACTTTAACGTGGCATTCTCAAATTGATCACTTGTCAAAAAAGTATCAGCTCGCCTGGCAATTCTAAAGCGGGCCAGGGCCGCAGTACCGCGTTACACCTTAATTAACATGACTAACAGGTACATAGTTAGTAGAGGGAACAATGCCCCGGTTGTTCCTTTTTTCGACTATTGTAGCCCAGTATGGGTTTGTATCGGAAAATGCCAGTCTGAGAGACTCCAGAAGCTACAAAATAGGGTTGCTCGTATAATAAACAATTCTGATTAGTTGACGCCATCTTCTTGTTTATTACATGACCTTTGCTGGGATACAATTGAAGAAAGGCGAACTAAACAGCTAGCTAGCGATTGCTATGTATAAGGTGGTCAATAATCACTTTCCACTTCGCCTTCATAATATTTTTCAAACAATATCTCAAGTCCATACCTATAATTTGAGGGATAATTTGGATAAATCAACAAAGTTGAAATGGTAAATTGGCCACCGTAACGATTACAAAAGCTGACGTTTCGAGCGTTAGCCCTTTCTGGCCCTTTCGGGCCCATTTGCTCAGACGAAGGGCTAACGCTCGAAACGTCAGCTTTTGTAATCGTTACGGTGGCCAATTTACCATTTCAACGTTGTTGATATATCCAAACTATTTCGTTACCCCCACCTACGCAGCCCCAAACAGTTTCTTTAGAAACTATCAAGCTTTATTCATTTATAATTTGAGGGACTCGGCTCATAATCTCTTTACTCCCAGACCACTCTCCGAAGCCGGAAAAGGTAGGTTGCACTATCGAGGTGCTACACTATGGAACAGCCTCTCAACTACTAGAAAAAACCCAGACCCGACTATTAATGCTTTCAAAGAATCCCTGCTCACATAGCAATTGCTTTTTGTCATAATCTTAACGATCTTTTTATTTTAGGATTTAATAGCTCTTATTTTGTGACAAGTTGTAGTATTAGATTTTAGTTTTAGCATTGCTGTTGGTATATAGCATTGGAATATTAGTATTAGCATACGTTGTATAATTATATTCATTAGTAGAAATAGTGTTCGTTGTAAATTGCTTATGAATGATTATTTGCATATTTAAGTTACACACGGCTCGATGGAAGAGCATATATTATGTGAAATTGATACCGTGTATAAATAAAGCTTATATAGGTTATGCATGTATAGTTTACCACTAAATTTTCTCCGATTGTTATTGGTTTAAATTGATCACGTGACGCTATCAGCCCATAGTGCTCGTCTGCGGAAAATTCCCGGATAGATAGTACTCATCCGTGAAAAATTTTGAATGATTTGACGGCCGCGAAGTTAGGCAGATCGGAAAAAAGCAGTGACTTCTCAATTCTGACAGGTATAATGTATCATTTAGCCAATGTACGAGTACAATGTCTTGTTTAAATGTCTTGTCTTGTTTTAAATCACTAGTAATTTTATTGTATTTAATTTGTATGACACCTGTACTTACCTTTTAACTCATAATATAGTATACTAATGCAAAGCTTATAACTGCAGTAATATTGTGGTAGTAATGAAATCTCTGCTTACAATGTATAGTATTTACTTATGATTTACCACTAATACCCGCCAAGACTAACTAATGCTATATGCAGGTTGTGTAAATTGGCTTTTAATGTTCCATGAAATAATAATAAAACAGTAAACAGTAAACAGTAAACAGTAAACAGTAAACAGTAAACAGTAAACAGTGAACAGTAAACAGTAAACAGTACAGTGTGTAGTATTTACTTATTACGTATTTATTACTAGCTAATGCTATCATGCGGGTTGTATAAATTGGGTTTTAATGTTCCATGAGATAATAATAAAACAGTAAACAGGAAACTTTAAACAGTAAATAGTAAACAGTAAACAGTAAACTGTAGGGTTGCGAATTATTGACATTAATTTTGTGACAGGCTGTTCGCATGAATAAATATTTGATTGATCTACATTTAGTGGGTTTTGACTGTTTTTCAACTAGCGCGTGGAAGAAAATTTAGTGGTGAACAATAAAGGTAATAGAGTGCTTACATCTCGGAAATATCGGTCTGATAGTTGCCCCTAGGAAATTTGATGTTCTTAAAACTAGCATATTTGTCCTCGATGCTTCGCTTCTCGGGCCAATATATGTTTTACGAACATCAAATTTCCGCGGGGCAACTATTTGCCGATAGTTCCTAGTCAGAAACACTCTATTGTTGAAAGAGAACATGGAGTTAATGCTGTGGAGCTATCTGCCAGTTTATAACATGGCGGACCAAATCCCAAATTTTTCTCTTGGGTTTTTATTCGACCCAGATGTCCTTTACGACCTAAAAGACGAAGAGAAAACGAGCTATTAGCGTCGATCGGTTTAGAAGCTACTGTCAATAATAGTGCGACCTATCCGTTAGTTAGTTATGAAAACAATGAGCGAAGCGGCAACTCAACAAGTAAAGATTTGAAAACATGTCAAGTGCCGCAATTGACGACATATTACAAGAGCAAAAACAAAGAAAACCAAACAGTCCGCCAAATGAGCTATCCAAGTTTTCGAAGGTGAGTTTTTCTTGTTGCAAAAATGTAATAAATACAATATGAAAACCTCGAATAGAGTGGGCGTACATTCGCTTGATCTTCTCGCCAAAAAAGGTAATCAATGAAAGGGGATAATTTCAAAATTGGCTAGCACACACACGTTTCTAACCAACCACTACAACTTCCTCTCGCAAATAAACTCCAAAACACAGAACAAAATTTTTTTTTTCATCTGACACCCGTTTTTGTCGTTTTTTAATAGCTTGGTGCAGTGAAAAAAAAAGTGGCCAAGAACCTCCACGAAATGAACAACAAAGAGCTTGACCTAAATCTCCGCTAATTTTACACAGAAGCACGAACAAAAGATGGTACATTGCATTCAAAGTAATCCCTTCTCGGATTGCGAAGTACAATTGAAAGATACCTCAGCAATCCGCCATTTAATAGGGGATATCTCCATTTCAAAAGGCACAGATTTCCAAGGGAAGATGACAAAACGCGGAGCCCTACTCTATGGAGTACCCTATGGAGTACCTAAATTGAGTACCCTAAAAAATCATGTATTGGTCGAATAAAATACTTCATAAACATGGTAAATCGTATAGATGTACATGTTTTTAGTAAATACATTTTGAGCCTTCCCGCTCTCCGATTGTCACAGTTCCGTACATCCCAATTTTTTGGGGGGGATAGGGGGCTCTCAGTCTAACAGGTTCCTCCATTTTGGTTTTAGCGCTGTGTAATGAGTCCTTTGACCGGAAGATAAAAAAAAATCTCCATATCATGAACAAAACCCACTGTTTCGAGTTCTGCACGAGGTAAAATATTTAAACTTACTACATTTTCCAAATCAACTGCCCAGTTGGATTATTTGCTTACCCATCGGTGTTTCTATTTTTTGTTTCTTTGCATATCTCAATTTTATTACGCTACAAATAGAAGGGCGAAGAGAAGTGGAAGTTGAAACACACGAATTACTTTTTTTGAAGTACTAGCTTTTATCTTCATCGCTTCACACAATTAAGAAACCCATGAGGCCTTTTGTAAAGGGCTAACGCTCGAAACGTCAGCTTTTGTAATTGTTACCGTGGCCAATTTACCATTTCAACTTTGTTGATATAACCAAATTCTTTTGTCAATAGATTGAACGCCACACCTCTTACAGACGCCTTACCTGATAGGTATTTTCAAAGACGAAATACCCGCTGCCAAATGAAGGATGACCGTACTTTTGGCCTCTGGAAGATCCTAAA